TCAAACATGAACAATTTCTTGCTTACTCAGAGAATAACAATTTTTCAGAGTAACTACGTTTATTTTTGCGACAAAAATTTTTCAAATGGTCGGCACGAATTTTTATTTTTTTTGTAGTTTTGAACTTGCGATTTTTTTTTGGTTCAAACAATAATTGTTTGTGGCGTTTGTGGCTTTCTTCTCTCAGTGATATTGAATCTAATGTAAAGGGGACGAAGTAATGAATTTTTAAACTTCATTCAGAATTCTTTAGAATTTCAAATTTTTGAGCAGCAGGAGAACGAGAGTTCAATCAAAATACAAATATTCAATACCAAATCTTGCAAAATTTTCTGTTAATTAAAAATTCAAAAATATATTTACTTCAATTTTCCTGAGATATATTTATTTCCATAGAATAGTGCAATTGAAATATCCAGTTCTTATGGATTTTTTAAAAATTAAATTGTGAAAATGAACAGATTCTCATTCAATTTTGTTTTCGACCAAAAAAATCGCAAATTGAAAATGATTAAAATATAAATTGTTTCATTTTAAATTGAAATTCCCAAAGATGAATATTTTCTTGCTTGCACAGAGAATAACAAATTTTCAACAACTAAATTTATTTTTGAGAAACAAAATTTTTCATTTGAGGATAGTCTTCGAATAGTTTTTGGCTTTTTTCTTCTCTTAGTGATATTGAATTTGATCTAAAGGGGACGAAGTAATGCATTTTTAAACTTCATTGAGAATTCTTTAGAATTTCAAATTTTTGAGCAGCAAGAGGACGAAAATTCAATCAAAACATAAATTCTGAATTCCAAATCATTCTGAATTTTCTATTAAATAAAAATTCTCTAATATATTATCCTTAATTTTCCTGATTTACATGGATTTTTATGGAATAGTGTAATTGAATTTTCCCGTTCTCAGTGATTTCTTTAAATTAAATTGTGGATTTAGAATTACGAAATTCTTGGAAATTTGAGTGAAATTTTCGCTTTATGGAAATTGGAAAAAAAAAATTGAAAATGTCATTCAAAAATGTTGACTGAGGTTGCAAGATGACCCTTGGAAAACATGCAAAAATAATGAAGAAATTATGAAGATGCATCAATCTACTTGAACCTACCAACTCGATGCCATCTTCGGACAATGCGGCTAGTGGTTTTCGGGGTGTACAAGGTTGAAGAGAAGTCGAGAAGGAAAGAGGAGATGCGGCTATTCCGAGAGTTGGGCGTCGCGTGGTCGACGCTCGGTTCCTAGCCGCAGGGCAGTAGCAGTTTTCGCGGTGCAACCGAGACCGCATGCCTGCAAGAGTTCGCCATATCGGTGTGAAAGCTCCTGATGAGAATTCCAATGGTAGAATTTGCAAAATCCATCCGGAGATTATGATAATGCTCTTCAATGCCTCGGAAAATCGTTTTATCGTAACATTCTTGAGATTTTTCGGGTGTAAGTTGCGGCATAATTCGCAGAATTTTTCATGTCATTACCGTTTTATTGAAATTTCGAGAAATTCCGTCATTGAAACCCCACAATGTTATGGAAAAATCACTGGAGATTGGGAATTTCATTTCGATTATTACATAAAAATTGATAGAAATGAGAAAAATTAAAATATATTCTTGAATTTTCATCATTTTACTAAAAAATTTGGAATTCTCTTGATTCTGTCAGTGAAATCTTGAATTTCATAATTTTCCTCCCCCAAATTAAATTCACTGTCACTCTCCCGATAATTACTAGTCAACTCTCAATTAATTGAAAATTGAGCGTAACATCGAACTGAATATTAATGTTTCGTGTGAAAATGCCAATGAATTTTCATTGAAATCTGAAGTTTCATGATTTTCTCACTAATCAATCAACTGTCCATGAAGTTTCAATATTTTGTTTCTGAAAGTGCGTACAGCACTTGACTCTCCCCTTTTAAATCAGTTCTTCCGCTTCTCGTCGGACATTCATGCTGGAGCAATTTAACGACCATCGATTCGTTTTGGCACTTTAACAGTCGAGCTGGTACCGGGCAACGAGCGTTCAGAGCTTTTCACCATAAAATCGCAATGGCTTTCATATTAGTTGCGGTAGATGCAGCTATTGTCACTCGTGTACTCCTCCCAATTCCATTTAAAAGGCTGCTACACGGAGAAAAAAAGTTGGAGAAAAATTACCGAATGGGTCAAGTAATCGTGGGGCGGAATCTATTTCTAGGTTTTTTTTCAGATTATATCGGCACAGGTGAATTTTTCTCCATTGACTCAGGAAAATTAACTAAACGTAAGGGTAATTCAGTAGCGAAGCGGTAAAACGGTTCAAGTTGCTTTTATCTATTCGCCAGTTTTGGGGGAATATCTCGAAATCTAGGGGAGATATCAAAATTTTTGTCATGACCTTTTTTATAGAGCGAATTGAGGGTTACAACAAAGCTCATCATGAAAATTTCGCTATCTCCCTTAGATTCGGAGATAATCCGTGTAAACTCAGCTAAGAGCTAAATCGACTTAACCCTCTAGTGCTCTTCACATTATCCCTACTTCTCCGGTTATCCGTAAGAGCGCGTGCTCCTTTCTTCCGCGCTTCTCATGGTGTGTTGGGGCTCGTCAGCATTAGAGGGTTGAACCATTTTACCGCTTGTTATTATCTTATCTTATTTTAAGCCATTTAAAATCTTAAAACAAGTTATTTTTTTGTGTAGGCAACAGTAATTTTTGCATCCACAGATGTATTTTTTACCAAACGAATCGTAAGAGATTCTCCGCAAAAAGTATTTTTTTTATTGAATTCCAATTTCACTCCACGATCCCCTTTATTGTAAAATCTGCGGCGATTATCGAGATCATTTTTACCCAACTTTTCCCTCCGCGTATTTGTACTCGTCTTCTCATGGTGGATGTGATCATCAATGATCGCTCAAAGTAAATTTTTCATCATCCTGTACGAAATTGATTGCTCCCACTCTCCCGTATTTGCTTCGAAAAACATTACACATAATCAATTGTTTATTCAATTAAATTTTTTCCTCTTCATTCATCCGCTCGTTTATTTATTTTTATTCCAATTCTCTCTATACTGTTTCACGCTCGTGTTTACACGAAGCGCTTTCGTTTCCCGGTGAAAGCATTTGTCCCCTCGCCCTGCCACCCTCCCCGCGTCGTTTATAAAAAGAAATGAAAGCCACAAATGCACGGGGTATTGCGGTGGCGCATAAACTAATCGCATACATCGGCTAGTCGTTGATGTGCATATGTTGTTCATTACCGTTACATCTCGACGTGTATATGCTACGAGCAAAAGCCAATAAATAAATTGGATTGGCCAGATCGGCTCTGCTATGGGCAAATGGGATCAGCCATTCTACCGATCAGAGCATCAGGCTCGTTGATATTTTTAGTGTATTCGATATATTGTCCTTTCTAACTGTTATTGCCATGTATATCCTGCTGTGGATGAATGTATTGATACTGCATTTTATGCGTGAACCGGAAATATATGATTCCATTCGAAGGGAATGGGAGCTCACACTGTTGAATCCATTTTTTGGACGAAATTATTTTTCATAACGGCTGGAAGTCATGAGGAATCTGTCGATTGCAACAAATACTCTTTAAGTAAATGTATTTCATTGCGACTTCTTGCAGGAACTTGCAACGAATTTGATTAAAAATGGAATTAAAAAAAAGTAATTATTAATTTAAGGAAGATTGTCTGTAATCGCGAATAATCTGAGAACGGTAGAGAGGTTGAGAATTGGCAATTTTTTTTTTTAGTTCGGAAAATATTTTTTCATCACGCTGTGACGAAAAGTGAACTTTTCGGCACGCTCCACGTGCCTAAAAGTCCAATTTCCGCCACATTGTGATGAAAAATATTGTTCATAACTCGTGAAAAAATGTTTTTTGGCTCGTGGGAGGTTTATATCACGAGCCGAAGGCGAATCCAATTTTAATCGGCTTTCAATTGAAAACCCGAGTTGAAAACCCGAGTTTGTAGCAAAGATGTCAGACAAGATATGAATGTTTTTTTGGGCTCAAACGAAAGAGCGGGTCGAGAAATGGCGTGCTAGAGCCTCTAAGCATGACAAATGTCTCTAAAGATGATGTCTGTTTTCAATTGAACAGCAGAGTTGTGACATCATTGTCTAGGAGGACAATGGGGTCTAGGAGTATGTATAGATCATTGGGGTCTAGGAGTCTCCCCTGGTTCAAAACCATCTTTAGAGGTCCTAGCACGCCATTTCTCGACCCGCTCTTTCGTTTGAGCCCAAAAAAACATTCATATCTTGTCTGACATCTTTGTTACAAACTCGGGTCTTCAACTCGGGTTTTCGATTGAAGGCCCGAGTTGTAGACACGAGTTTATAGCAGCGATGTCAGACAAGATATGAATGTTGATTGGGCTCAAATGAAAGAGCGGGTCGAGAAATGGCTTGCTAGGGCCTCTAAAGATGGTTTTGAACCAGAGGAGACTCCTAGACCCCACTGGACAATGTTCTTACAATTGCGCTTTTCAATTGAAAACAGACATCATCTTTAGAGACAATTGTCATCTTTAAAGACTTCTGCACGCCATTTTTCGAGCCGCTCTTTCATTTGACCCAAAAAAAACATTGCGTGAAACACACAGGTGTATAAAAATACAACTGCGTGAAACACACAGTAGTGTAAAAATACAACTGCGTGAAACACACAGTAGTATAAAACTTCAACTGCGTGAAACACAGTAGTATGAAACTTCAACTGCGTGAAACACACATTAGTATGAAACTTCAACTGCGTGAAATACACATCAGTATGAAAATTCGGCTGCGTGAAACACACAAACTTCACGCATGCGTGGAGTGTATGGAGTGTACGGAAGTGATTCACGCAATGGTGCGAATAGTCACGGCCTAATTTTTAGATCAGGAGATATTGACAATTACAAACAATTTTACGAGTGAGAATTATTTTGTAATCCATAGTCTTTGGAAATTGGCATGTATTTTTAATTTTGATTATGATGTTCGTTTGTTGCAGGGTCCACCTCAACCTGGACAACCCTTTAAGTTCACCGTTAGTGAGTCCTGCGATCGAATCAAGGAGGAATTCAATTTCCTTCAAGCCCAATATCACAAGTAAGTTTTTCTCTCAGATTTGACCGGATAACCTATTCAACAGTATTATTTAACAGGATTGTGATGAAATACATATTCATGTATCATTTGAATGATACACTGTAAAAACTAGTGTCTTCAAGACGACTTGATTTGAGACATTAAACCCGAAAATCTGCACTGTTTGATGTCTTAAAATCCGACATTTGAATCATTTATTTCCGTCTGAAAACAAGACGTTTGATAGACAAGGCGTTTTCGTAAAATCTTGAAATACAAGACTCCAAATTCAAGACATTTTTTCCGCATCGCTTCGGGACACTTGAAGACCATTCAGTCAACAGTCGTTTATGATGTCAGCACGACAATAAGACATTAACCCCATTAAGGCATGGAATCGTAAGACGTTTTTAGTGACTTCTCCATTTGCTTCCAATTTATTGAAGTTCTGAATTTATTGAGAGGGTGGGAGATGTCAAATGAATTTAAACAGTATCATCACAGCAAAAACGAATGTCTGAATTTCATACACATTTTGTAGACATTTTTCAGACACTAAAAAACGTCTGAATAAAATGAAAATGTGCCTAAATTTCAAATATGAATTAAGATGTTTGGGCACCTGTTGGTCTCATTTAACACGGAAAAAAAAAATTCATCTGCTCGAAATAATTTGTTTTCTTCAGGAATTTAGAAAAATATGATATTTTAAAAACGACTATAATTTTTTAGACACTTCAATTGACAAAGTCAATTTTTTTTCAATTTTTCCGGTTATCCAGTCAATTTTAATTCAAGAAAAACGACGCGCGGCGGGTTGACCAATGTAGGGTTAACGTAACAAAAATTATAAGTGAAAAAATGATCAATCCTTTTCATACAACACGGTCGACCATTGAGAAAAAATGAATAAAGTATTTAGAAAACAAATGAGACATCCTAAAATGTCTAGACAGCATGTTTTAATATCTCAATCTGAAACACTAAAAATGACTTGGATTTGGGCTCACAAACGACTTAAAAAAGGGAACACAAGTGCTTCAATTCCAGGCACTAGTTTTTCTAGTGTATTGACGATCTTCTTAGCATAAAGTGATTACATTGCAGGTCCGCGTAGTGTGTGAGCAAACACTGACTATTCGTATTGCTTCTTTTCCTCAAGCGACAGAAAAACCCGCTCGAGGCATGAAGTAAGAGACATGCTGGTACGTTTGTACTGTGTCGGTACAAAATACTCTAACCGTCTATCAGAATGGACGCGTATAATGGTTTACCCAACCGGAAGCTATGTACATTGAAACTCAGTGTTTGCTCATACACAGCCCACGGGAATCGCCAGACTACAGCAATAGTTGATCTCTGTCAAATGATACGAGACTGGCGTTCTATCGATATCGATCTTTATAGGCCAGCATCGACAACTGTCATGTTGTTGATGTTTTTATTTTAGAGGATATCACTGGATAAGGTCTCCAACGCATTTCCATATCGACGTTGCTCGAGTCATTATTCCTGAGACCATTCGTAACTAGCGAATTTGGTGACCAATAAAAACTGCTGAACATGGAAATTCATGGCGACTTGAGGGTGATATCGTCTCGTATATTCAGAATTATGTATTCGAGATAAGCAAGAGGATGAAAATAGGTGGAGAATTGGGGTGTAGGCAGTTGAGTGCATAAGGAAAACAAAATGTAATATTTCTTTTTATGGTTAAACTCAGGCAGGGATAGGATTTTTTATGTGAAATTTTTTGTTACAGTTTTAGGGAGAAACAATTGAAATTTCACATTTTTGGTGAATTTTTGATTCATTTCCATTTAATATTCAAGAATACGCGGTTTAGATATGAATAAGAATAAAAATAGAGAATTGTGGTATAGCTTTTTTAGTTAGGTAAAAAAACAAAATGCATTTGTGTCATTCTATATAGCTAAGCAGGGAGAGAAAAATCTCTTAAAAATTAACTTATTGTTGGAATATTTTTACTCGAGATTGGAGGGAAATCATGGAAATTTTACAACTTTGTTGACGTTTTAAATGATTTTGAATTCAAGAATATGTCGGAAGTTTTCTGATTTTGATTGAACAATTTTTTTGAATTGTAACTTACATTTTCCATTGGTTTTTGCAAGAAGTTTTTGTAGAGTAGTACTGGCTAGGACTATTGTACTCCCTTCTAAAAGTGTCACAAAAACTCATGAAACAACACACGCAGAAAAATTCAGAAACAAGCAGATTTAATTCGATTAAATGAACTTCATTTGAATCATATAGCCGAGTTCCTTCGAATACTTCATTCACTTCAAGCAAATAATTTTTCTCAAACAATGGAAACAAATGGATTATTTAGTTCAAAAAATTAAAAATAATGGAAAAAATTCAAATAATAAGTTGTTTTCTATTCAAATCCGTCAAGAATTCAAGAACATGTCGGAAGTTTTCGAATTTTCACTGAATAATTTTTTGACTATTAAAATTCACAGTTCCCATTGGTTTTCAAAATCGCTATTTTTAAATGACGAAATTTCCTGAAAGAGATTCAGTAGAAACATGATTTGTTACAAATTCACACAAATTTTCTAACCGCATGAAATTTTTGTAGTGCAGTTCTGACTAGAGAAATTGTATTCTTATAAAAAATTCATGAAACAACACAAACAAATAAATTCAGAAACAAACAAATCCATTTCGATAAAATAAACTTCATTGGAATCAAATAGCCGAGTTCCTTCGAATACTTCATTCACTTCAAGCAAATAATTTCTCTCAATACAAAAAATGTTTTCTGGATCTGACCAAGCCTTTGTTACTCAGAAGCGAATGGATTATTTCAAAAAAGTTAAAGTAATGGAAAAAAATCATATAATCACTTGTTTTTCATTCAAATGCGTCATTTTCCTGCCTGCAATGCCCAATAACTTGAATTCAGAAATTATGTTCAACAGATTTTTCTCTCCCCCTGCACCTCCCAGAATATATGAGGAAATATTCAGTGAATATTGTTATCTGTAAGCTGGATATAATAATCATTACCCTCACAAGTTCATAATTTCCGCATTTGCATACGAAATACAACAGCAAGTGAACTATAAACTGCCATAAATTCTCTCGCCGTTGAAGATGATATGGTAGCTGAGAGCTAACGGTCGGGCCGGGAGGGGGG